TTAAGACAGAAAAAGCAGTTTATGGGGAACTGAAGAGCCCATAATACATCGAGAAAGATGAAAAACTATCTTACAATAATAGAAAGGAGTAGAGTTCCCTAATACGCGAGTATTAGACCTCTCTATTATAATTTGCCTTTTAAAATACGCGGTACACATGGAAATAAGAGCATAATGTATCACTGAAAGGAGTTCCATATCAATGAATGACTATGAAGATAATGGTAAAGCCACAGTTTACTCATCAAGAAATTAAGAAATCTCTTGTTTGGTACATGTTCTTTATAATTCTTGTTAAGATAGACTTGTATTAGACAGCAGCAATGCAGCTAATCTTAGCAAAATCATGTGCACGTTAAAAAAAGATAATGCATGCAAAATAATAGTTTCAGGCATCTAGTCTCAATAAACTGCAGCAAAGGGACAAGAAGCATCTCTTTTTTCACATAATTGTCGTTATTTCCAAGCTCTTAGGTCAATGCTAAACCATTTGATCCATTTGATGATGATGATAGAAACCCAATGATCCCTTATTTAACATTAAGATAAGACTGCAATTCAAGATTACCAGCAATTGATAAGGGTGGGGAAATTAGATTGATACCTGATTTATCTCAAAGCCAACGTTCCAGATTACTATCTAAGAGTCATAATGATATGTAGTTTAAGCCCCATCAATATTTTGTGGCCTATGTCAATTACTTACCACAAAACCACTGCTGATTACTCATTCTCAACTCTGAACAAGCAATTAACATGAGAAAGATAGAGACATTACCAGCAAAAGTCCCTAATGTCAGTTTAATGGAGAGGTGAAGAATATATAAGCATAACATGCCATAGAACATAAACCTTGGATAACTTTCTATGGAGAAGACCATAAACAAGTAGTCAAGTACTATTAGATGCAGGCTTACAGCAGTAATACGTAACAAGAACAGGCAAAATTTGAGACATTCATGGTAAATGCAGAACACAAATTGATAAAAAACAGAAAAGAACAATTGAGCATCTAGCTATGATGAATCCAAATGTTCAACATCCTAGGAACAAGTAACAGTTTACAAAACAAAAAGTGTGGTCAAAGGTCGTGCAAGTAGACATTATGGTGCCAAAGCACATATAGAGGTGTATCTTTGTTAGACGAAATCAAGAACCAGATCTTTCCGATTAAATGGCTAAACCTGGCAGCACGATGTTTAAGGAAGCACAAGACATGGCAGATAAGAAAATGGAACTAACCAAAAGAATATATATATATATAGGGAGTCCTGAAAAAAGGGCAAAGTGAAAGTGGTGATTAGCATCATTGTTTCCTTTCAGGCTTTCAGCATTAACATAAACTGCATTGCTTAATTATATTTTGCAATTCAAGAGGAATCAACTAACAGAGAAAGTTAATGACGGATCAATTTGGACATCACTGTTCAATCTTGGCATAGGTATATAATTTTCCAATAATGGACTACGAGTAATTCAATTCAATTACTGTTTCTCTGATCATCAGAAAACAGGAAAACCCAGGTAAGTCTGCTAAAACATCATGTGACTTGATTTAACAGATTGGCAGACTAAATGGCACAAAATGAGACGTAAAACAAAATTGGCTCAAAACAGATTTGCAAAGAATGACAAAATATAGAATCTTTCTCAAGTGAACCAACCAACTAGCAATAGTTAATTTGTAATACACAACACTCAAATAATAACCATTAGCCGTAAAGAAACCACACACATTATGCAAGCCATTGAAATTTCAAAAGAAGGGACAACATCATTTATTTTAGCATGCTGATGGGCTTCACAGAAACAGATGTAGTATTTCATTATACAAGATTGAAGTTCCTGAACACATAGACCAAATTGCAAAGCAAGAATGTAAATTCCGCATCTATTGATTTAACGAGACACAACCAGACAATATAACTCTAACTGTCTCAAACTCAACTCAACAGACAAGTGTAAATTTACCTATCAAAGGTGTTGCTACTGAACAAACCACATATACCTTTACATGCTCTAGAGACATAATTCCTCACGAGCAAATAACAATGGCTATAAAAGCTCCTACAGCAGCATAAATATGCATAATTTTACACACAAATAAGTATAACGCTGAAGTACTATACTCTGTATTATTCAAATTTGAAAGAAGCAATTAGTGTAAGATATTACAACAAACTCAATACAACAGGCAAGTATAAATTACTGTAACAATCAAAGATGTCTTCACTGGATAGAACCGTATAAACCCTTACGTGCTCTAGAGACGTAATTCATCACAACGAGCACATAACAACAGCTATAAAAGCTTCCACGGCTTATTTACAGCATAATTATGCATAATTTTACACAAAAATAATACAATGCCGAAGACTATGTACTACAATTATTATTCAATTTCAGAAGAAGCAATTAGGGCAAGAAATTACAACAACTTAACCAATTATCTCAATTGTATTAATCATCTAATCACTATCTATTGAAGCTTGATATAGCATAATTACACAAATTAAAATTAACACCAAATGATTAACAAAAACCTAAATGTTCCACTGCAAAATAAACAAACATATACAAACAAAATTGAAATTATATTCAATGAATCAAAATTCCTAACAAAATCCAGATGAAATTCTCAAAACGTTATCCAATGAAACCACAATTTATGTAATCATAATCAAAGCCAATTTTTCAAATTTAACCTAAAATTGGAAATAATTGCAATGCATAAATCAATATAATAATAATTCGTGAAAAGTAACAAGACTAGCAACGCAATTGAGTAGTTAAGAGTATGAAAACCGATAATTCGTCGCCGAAATTAGGGAGAATGATGGCCTTTGATGGAGACGGTGAGAAACCCAGATTCTATCTTCGCATCAGTTCGACATTATAGTGGCGCGCAATTGAGTTCGAAAGGGTACCGCTAGTAAAATAAATACTCATAACTTTATCAAAAATAAATAATAAATACTCGTAACTATTTATTTATTTTTTTAACACTGAGAAATCTATTTTTACAACATTTCACCTTAATCTTTCAAAATCCCAATACTCAAATCTTATGCACTTGGTAATATGATACCATAAAAAAGTATGTTGCTTAATTCATCTTCAAACACATTTTAAAAGCACTCCCTTGCCAAATCTAGTATAATGATGTATTTTGAGTAAAAGTAAGTCATACTACGTGTAAAATTGTTAGATTCCATAAATTTATTCACAAAAAAACACAAAATGAAAACATTTCATGACACCGCCTAGATATGAATTCTCTATAGTGATATAGTCTATGTTTTTAGTGTTGCGTTGACATACAAACTATCACCCTTCAATTAGGGATGTCAATGAGGCGGGGCGAGGCGGATGTTGGTCTTCCCATCCCCATCCTAATCTAAAATTTTCATCCCCATCCCCGCCCCGGCGGGTACAATTTCAAAACCATCCCCACCCCAACCCCCACTTGGATATCCACCCCCACCTAATCCCCACTAAGACCCGCCTAATCCCTGTCTCCCAAATACACAATCATTCATAATTAATAAAGATTGCAAAAAGAAAAAAATTATTGTTCATATTACACATTTTTTTTGTTTATAATATAAGTATATTACAAAGTATTATATTTACTTTTTTATTTTACATAAATTTTTTTATAAAATAGTATAAAAATATATAATTTTGTTTTTAAAAATATATGGATGTGGGGATGGGGCGGGTACGAAGTGGGATAGGTGGGGATGGGGCGGATACGAAGTGGGGCGGGTACAACCTAAAATCCAACCCCGCCCCATCACCCATAGCGAGTATGGTTTTTATCCCCATCCTCGCCCCATCACCTGCCAAACCAAGACCCATCCCCGCCCCGTTGGGCGGGGATAGGTCGGGTCTCCTATTTGACCCGCCCCACTGACGTCCCTACCTTCAATCTCAACCATGCTTAATCATGTCTTTGATTGAATCACTAGCTAACCCTATAGATGTATAACAATGGCTTTGTCTTCCATTATATCAATTTCTGAAACTAATTTGACTTCACGTAATAGAATATCATTACACGATCCATTTGCACTTTTTGCTTGGTACAACAAAAGAGTTCTTACTAGCCTGTGTGGCTATACCTTGTGAGCATGTGGACAAAAATTGACCTTGTACGTACCTTAACTTGTACAATTGTTATACAATGAATTTCCCATTATTAAGTCGAGTTCTCATTTGTGAGCAAAATTAGGTACTCCGTACTCTATTTGCCTACCTATTTTTTATTTTTTATTCGTACCTTTTTATTGCACAGTCCCTCTATCCTTAATACTTTGCTCCATGTTCATATATTGTTTTTTTTTAAAGTTTTAGTTAAGTGGAATTGATGAAAGAAAAAAGTAGTGGGATATAGAGTAATTTTGTGAGAGTGAAGTTGTCAATCTTGTGATCCTATATACATTTATGATATAGAGCAATTTTTTATAGATACTCTTTTATGAAAAATAAGGCAAATGTGCACAAAAAAAAAAGAAAAAAAAAGGGGCAAACAATTAGAGACAATGAGAGTACGTTATTTTGAGCTAAGCATCTCTAATTCTCTAAGCTCACCCAACAACCCAACATGGCACATGGACATATGAGTTTTTGAATAAGGGTGTTAAAAAGTTAAACTTGTTAAGCTCGAGCCAAGTCTGCTCTCAAAGTATCCAGTCTGCTGACTAGGATTTGATTGTCTAGTGAGAGTGACTATGGCTCTATTCACTTTACCTTTAAAAAAACATAATATTCAATAATCAATTCAGTAAAAATAATTTTTTTTTTTAAAGACAGCAAAAATAATTTCAGTTAAGCAAAAATAATTTCACTTAAGTAAAAATAATTTCAATTCGATAAATATAATTTCAGTTCAGCATAGCCGGTTCGATAGGATAGTTTTTCTTATACAATAACCCAAAAAAAAAAAAAAAAAATTAAGATTAGAGTTTACTTTCTTTCAAAAAAAAAAAAAAAAAAGATTAGAGAAGGGTTTTGTTTTAAAAAAAAAGGTGAAGAAGGGTATAGGGTTTAAGATAGGTGAAATTCAGTAAATCAGCCGAATTGAAGCTTGAAGCTCCTCTTGAAGAAGTTCGTCAATGGAGTCAGTGCTAGGGTTACGAGAGACGAATTATAACCTCGACGAAAATCACAAATTAGTTCCATGGTTAAATTGGGAAGAATGGGATTTCGTCAGATTCTCTCTCTTCTCCTCTTCTTCCGATTCCATTGCCAAAGCTCTTCGTAGAGTATGAAAAACCCTAATTCCTCTCTTATCAATTTCAAATTATTAACATTTATTGTTTCCAATTTCTGCATAAATTGATTTAATTGTGTTTTTTCGGGAGGAGCAGATAGCGGCTTGGCGATGCAGAGGATGTTTACCAGTTGTGATTGAGGTTACGGCTTCGATTGTCGAAATTCAGCAAAAAGATCCTTATTTTAGGTGATTATATGTGTCTTATTTTGAAATTTGGTTTGATTTCCATTGTATAACTAGTTGTGTTCATTTGGGGAGCTCTAAATAAGCGAATGAGCAAAAACAATTGAGTGAGGTTGTATCGTGTGCGTGGTATAACCGGTTGTACTATGGGCGTGATGTTAAGTTTGTTAGGAGTTTTTAAATAGAAACTGGAAAGTGACATTGTAAATTGACAACAATTAGTTATTATTGCATTTGAATTTGTGATTATGTATCTTTGTGGTGGCTGTTTAATTAATTGCTCTTTGTTAATTGGATTGCAGTGAGGAGTTGAGTAATGGAGCTTCGGATTCAGAGGATATGCTGGCCATGCTTTATACCATGGCTATTATGAGGTGAGCTTGACAGGATGATTATTTGGAATTATATACTTTAGTGTCATTTTACATGTTTGTGATTGTTTGGCCTCTTGATTGATATTTGTTGAGAACACTTTTATGAGAAAATCTATGGAAAAGTAGAGTTGTGGAAAACTCTAGGACATTGTCACAAAAACTGAAAAACGGGTTTTCTCTTGCTTAGTTTCTCTATGTCATGAACAATAAAAAAAGAAAAGTGATCTATACAATTCTGCAGGGTTTGGTTCATTAAAGAGGAAATCGAAGTGCAAATCCTCAGTTAACTAACTATTAATTTCAAAAGTTATGCAGACGAAGGAAGTATAATTGCATATTCCCTATGCTTTCAAATAAAAGTCCTACTTGTCTTTTGCACACATTCTCATTTTTGTAGGAAGGTGAATACGAAAAGAAGACAGTGGGATTGGTTGATTATGAATGAATCTGAAAAAAATGGGGTTTGGTTGATTAAAGGTGAATATAATAAAGAAGGCATGATCTAAGGTGAACAATAAAGAAGACAATGGGTTATTTTTATTTAAAGACAAGATTTTTGGGTCAAATGGGACCTTAATTTGGGATGGAGGGACTTGGGAGTAGTAGGATACCAAATTTCCACTATTTTTACTCAAGTGTAAAACACAGGAAAACCAAGTAATTTACACAATCTTCATGGTTTGGTTTAAAAAGAGAATTAAGCACAATCATATAACCAAATACTAAATTTCTGCTGTTTCCAACTGTCTTGGCATATGTCTATGCTATTCGATGGTACATGGAATATTGGTATTCATGATTTTTGCTTTGGCTTATTTTTTTTAATCGTACTTGCAAACTGTTTGCAGTGGATATCCAGTGTAATGGTTGGCTTACCTACTTTACTTTGCTATTATAAGGCTTGTGAATGGAGTTATTGAGAAGACACGTAACAAAGCTGTGTCAATAGCTGATGCAGCTGTAGAAATTGGCATGCCACGCATGCTGGTCGATGTTCGTCATGGTAAGAATCCTGTGAGAAATGCAATTTGGCTATAGTTCATTATCACATTTCTTCTGGTGTCAAGTTAATATGTAATCTGTAGTAAGTATGCGATCACCCGTATGTTTTCTGACTTAATCTACCGAACTAATTATGGGTTGTCTTCTAGGCTAGACTGGTAGGTCATGCCCCATTGTTTGTTGGGCTTATGCTGTTTTTCTGTTTCTTGTAATGCCTATGAAATCTGACTGATAATAGTTGGTTTGTCCATATTATGTAGAGGGTTCACACCGGGAGCTTCCTTCCCTTCGGATACTTCGTTTAGCTTCTACTAAGGTATGGCCTTCTTTCTACCTATTGCATGCCTGAATGAGTAACTTATTATTTGAAAGCTTTAGATGCACTTTTCTTTGGTTTATTAATGATAAAAAAAACTAAAGCATTTACTAAGGATAACTTTGGCTGTACCCCGTGGAACTTATTTGTTCCTGGATCTGCATTTGTGTAGTGAGTTTCTGACCTCTTTGTGCTCATTGTTCAGCCTTCTGACATTTCAAAAGCTACATTACACTTCATAGTGTAGGATTCACATTTTATGGAAGCTTCTGTTAAAGCTTACAAGATAAAATAACCCAGCACATTATCATAGTTTTGATAAGCTGTCATTGTTATCAGATGCTTATTTATGATGTTTGGAGATGTGTTATAGCATAATCATTCTTTTATTTTTATATTTATATTGAGTAGGAGTTTTAATGTCTTGCCTGTATTAACATATCCAGGCACTCAATTGGTTGAAATCCTTCTATTGGGATTCTCAGAAGAATGCTATTCCATACCTGAGTGGGAAAAGTATTGATGTCAGGAAGGAAATCAGGTCCAAGTTACGGGATCTAGCAGTCATTTTGAAAGTCAAGCAGAGCTCTGGATCAAATTCTTCTCTAGTAAAGGGGAACCGTATGTCATCAACCTTGTAATCTTCTGGAAAATTCTTGTGTACCATTGCTCCACTTTTTTTTTTTTTTTTTTTTTTTTTTTTTTTTTTTGGTTTTGTATACTGTCAGGATTATTTATCATATTGTTGCCAACTTTGCATCTTGTGATTGCTGCATTGCCTTGTTTATCTAGATAACCTTGGTCTTATAGGACCAGAGGTGCTCACCATGTCTTTTCTTGAATCATAGCTTAGCTAGATCCACTTTAACTTTTTTGCCGGAACTTGGAGATTGTTACCATTGTCAGGTACGGGAGCGCTAAAGAACCTAGGCATACCTAGGGCCAGGGGAGAGGAACAGACTTATTAAGTTCAATAGTTTTGGGTTTTCTTACTGGGTCTTATATGGCATTTGAAAGGAAACATTTTTTATTTGCACTTTTGCAGACATGAAAGGTCAGGGTACTTCTTTTGGTTTAAGTTTCTGACTTTTAAGCTCTAATGGAGTTAATGACTGTATACTGGGGTTGTTTCTATCTGATTGTTGTGGTCTCTTTGATGTAATCCCATAGGCATGTCAATTATCAGAGTAAATGAGGGGGGAGGGTGCAAAAGTTAAAGTTGCAGACATTGCAGCTGATAGAAGCCTTACACAACTTCATAGTTAGCCATTGCTTCATTATTGTCAGACTGCATAGTTATGTACCTGGAGTAAGTTTTTTTCACTGATCTTTTGGTAGTATGGTTGACACTTGGGCATTTGTAGTTCATAGGAATTGACATGAAGATCGTGAATTACCAAGGGGAGGGTAGGTAAGCCACTTCCCATGTCCCATGGGAATTCTAACCTCTCGAGGATGCGCCACTTCCCCATTTCAACCATCTTATGCCAACCAAACAACATGTCATATATGCACTTAGGAACTCACAGTCCCCCCTCTATTTGCTTGCAACTAAACAAGCACATAGGATATACAGGTATTTTCTCTTGCAATTTAACTTACAGCTAATTAATTAGCTTTTTGCTGATCTGTACTAGTGAATAGTTCTTTTATGTGACATAATTGGCCTGCTGGTATATCTTACTTCCATCTTAGGTAATCTTCATGCCTCTATCTTCTCAAAACCATGAATACAGTCCTTTTAGTATGCCTCTTCTTGATCCTGTGTTTGGTATGCAATTTGTGTTGTTTTTTATTAGATATGGTATATGCTATATTTCTTCCTTTGAAGGAGCACATCTGCATTGCTGTATATGCTTTGTAATATGTCTCAATTTGCTTACATGCTTTTGTATAGCGGCTAGGGCTTGATATGGTATAGCCTCTCTTATATAGGTATTAAACATCGTGAACAAATGGTAGGTGCTTTTCATGGACGCAATAAATTTTTGTCCGTTGTGGCTAAGAAAGTCCAATCCTCTAAGTATGTAGGTAAGTTATTTTTAGATTGCTTTGTACTTGATGGAGCCCCTCACCTTTTTGTATATTTTGTTGCAATGACATGACAAAACAATGTTATGTATGTATGCAAGTATGTGATTCTGTGCTGTTGATGTTCTTTGATTCTCCCATCATCTAAAAATATCTGTCTGACTTCTATTGCACGCATTTTAATTTTCAATTTCGCCCCTGGCGAAATTCAGAACCCTCTACTGTTATTGTCATGTTTATTTTTATTTTTCTCACTGGTTTTTGCCGAATTGGAGATCAGAGACCATACATACCATCTAATGTCCCAACTTGTGTCACCTTTTTATGAATTTTATCAACTGTCAACAATTTTGTGTGTATTATAATTAATAAAATGAAATCATATCTTGTCACATATACGTTCTTAAATAGGTGATGTGCCAGAAACAAAATGGAAGAGAAATTCCCCAATTGCCCCCCCCCCCAAACACACTCATACGCAAATGCACGTTTAATTCCTAGGGTCTATTCATTTGTTTTGTAGTTGAACCCATATGACCCAAATTTTTCCTAAAATTCATCACACATGCTTTCCATCTATGAAATTCTTTTGCCAATGGTATATACACAATCTTATAACTTATTTGGTTGATTAATTCGCCTTTTTCAGTTAGAATTGGTACAGTTTTCCAATAGATATGTGGGATTTTGATTGCATATGTTAATTGCTTTAACAGTGATAAACTACTACACCCTAGCATAGTATGACACTTGTTTTCTTGATGTATCCAGGATCTAAGAAGCAGATAAAGAGGACTTTAAAAAGCCTTGTTAGATTATATTCTTTCTTTTCATCAGATGTGGTCGTGGTGTCGCTGGAGTTCTTACTTGATGCATCTAACTCAATAGACTTGGTGAAAGTTCCAGAAGAAATTCAGATTAAATTGAGCTTAGATGTTGCTGAGGCTGTATTTGATGAATGGAAACCTGTGATAAGTAAGGTCTCCAAAAAGGAACCAGAGCTACTACTGAGTCTCTTGAAAGCAGTTCTTGACATGATTGAGTCTCGAAAAATCATTAGAGATGATTTTGGTAATTACTAAGGGCTTGTTTGGCATCGTTTTTCGTTTTTAGTTTTCTGTTTTTTTTAAAAACCTAAAACGGGAAACAAGAAAAAAGTGTTTCCACTTTTCTATTGTCAGTTTTCAAAATTATCATGATTTTAATAAGTTTGACTAACTTTTAATTCATTATAGGACATATATTATATGATTTTGAAAAACAAAAAACCAGAAAACCACAGCAATGCCAAACGTACCCTAAGCCTTTCGTTTAATTTTGTTGTGTTGATTCTGATGTCCTTTTCTGTGTAGTGATATTAGAGATATCGGCAACATTTTTGGTTCTTTTAAAACCAAAGCTAGATTTATAACATTTTGTTGAGGGCCATTCCGATCCTTTTCAGCTGAAACATCCTTATTGCATTTAGCTTGACACTACCCTTCATTGCAATTATTTTTCTTTGCAGCAAGAGATTGTTTGACCACCTTTTTTTAATCTTGGTACTGCAATACTGTATTATTGTGATCTGTTGTCACATGCAAGTGTTTTTATACAACTATGTCTCTTTGTAATCAAGGTTATCTAGTAGATGGGATTAATTAGATGCCTTCTCTGTTGTTAGTACTCTTCTTTTCCTCTGATTTTTCCCCCTTTTTTCCAATCACAAGCCTACTGTCATTAATCCTATAAATTTTTTTTTAACCTTTGCTGGGTAGATCAATTTAAAAGCAGCCTTAGATAATTTAAGACTAAACAATTGTCTTTTTTTTTTTTTTTTTTTTTTTTTTTGGGGTTAATTTAACAATGAACTGGGCAACTTAGTTTCCCTCAGAAAAGACTGGGCAACTTAATTTTAGTATAATTCAGTGTATATCTGATAGTTATCTGTTGATTTAATACATTTTTAAGTTAGTCTTCCATAATTTTTTTATGGTTGTTTATCTAAACATCACTTTATGCATCTTTAGGCAGCGAACATTTCAGCCTACTGCAGTATGAGCCAGAGATGCATAGAATTGGAGTTCTATCTTCGCTATTTAAGTGGCTGGTGCTAGTTCTCAAAGGTCTTAAATTATTTCAACATGAAGCTCAAGAAAGCCTAACAGATGCTGTGGGTTGTCTTCCTAAGATAACGTTAATTGAGCTTGTGAGAAGATGCTTTCACATCGCAGATCCTGAAAACCGGGACCTTCTGGATTCAGCCATGCTGCTGGCAGAAATGGTTCGAGATGGCTATCTGAGTGAGAAGCTTGGCAAATTGTCATCCCTCACTAAACTTTATCCTAGACTTGCTGAAGATGGTGCTTCAGATGTGAACCCCAATGATCTTATACGTCAAGACAAGTATATTTATGAAGCTGCTGAGAAATTGGAATTGATTAAACGTTGTAAGATTAACAATGCAAGTATTCGAAGCACTCAAGATGACATTATGGAAGATTCAAATATTTGGGTCATTGCTAAATCATGGAAACCATGCCCTATAGGAATGTTGCCTCGTGATGTAGGTTCGTCGGGATGCCTACCTGTTCTTGACCATGCTGTTGATTGTGAAAATAAGGGGCCTTTGAACTCAACAGACACCGAGAAACATCTCGAATTAAGGAGTTGCAGTAAAAGGAAACCTAGCGGTGATATTGTGACGATAAATGACTCGAGCATGGAGAGAATAAGAGAGATACAGAATTCTGATTTCTGCAAGTCAGATAATTCAAATGCTATTGCAACATCTGATGGGATCAAAGGTCTACTTTTGATTGGTGGGGATTGGCAAAAAGTGGGATATCAAGAGCTGCAAGACATCAAATCTCGCATCAGCATTTTAGTGAATACGAGAATGAGTTGACAAACGGACTACTTGTATCCGAATTTTGTTGTAAGTTAATCGCATTAGCGTTTAGTTTTGGTTTTACGTTGGGTCATTTGCTACCACAGTTTTTTCCAATGATAATTTTTTTGTGGTTATGCATGCTCGTCTTCAAACTTACCTTAATTAACGGACTACTTCTGAAGGAATTATACCAGTTATTGCAGTTTATGAACAATCAGTATCTCTTGGCCAATGTCAAGTGACGTGGATCTTGAACGTGATAGCTGTAGTAATTGTCTGGTGGAAGAAGGCCGGCAGGGGCGACCTGAGAACACATGAGCAGCACAGGATAGCAACCTCCCCAAGAAACGTGAATCCAAATCACCCATATATTGGTGATCTGGTTTGGAAAGGTGCAGAATGCCTCATTCATGTGTTCTCATATCGCTCCTGTAGGACTTCGCCACCTGTTGCAAGTCATAACTCGAACTTCTTAATTTATCTTGTGATAGTGTGATTAAAAGTTGCTGGTGATTATAGCTGAGAATTTGGGTATTGATTTTATAGTGCAACTGGGAAATCTGGTACAGGGTACTCCATTAGTCCAGTACTCCAGTGTACTGCATGATATAATATGGTGGAGTACTAGTTTAGGGAGTTGTACAACATAGTCATCTTTCAGTTTGTACTGCTGCTGATAATATGGGAGTACTAGCTTTGAAAAGTTGTACTCATGTTACCTTTCAGTTTGTACTACTACTGTTGTTTTTGTAACTTGTACTTTGCTGACTTTGAAGTTGTACAGGCACTGTACTTCACATAAAAAAGGGGATTGTTGGTTTGTAAATGCCCTGCTTTCCCAAAATACCCCTCCACCTATATTTTGTAGAACAAACACAGACTCTACCTATTTGCTTCCATTGTATATTCGCATAGGTGCGGGGAAAGTGATATATACACCCGAGTGTACCGTACACCCATGAGTATTTTGTTCTCATTCTAGTGAGTTTTTTTTTTTTTTTTTTAATCATCAAATAAAGAGCAAAATCTAACATTGGGGTATTTGGATACATGTTGCACCCGGGTGTATATAATAAATTTTAGGCATGTGCCGTGTACCCCTTTTTACGCTCCAAACTAATGTGTGTCCCAGATGAGCCCGCGAGGTTGAATTGATGCGTGATATACTGATATGTAATCACATAAAAGTGTTTGGGAATTAAACTTAGCTACAAATAACATGATACAAGTGTGTGGCCCGAGCGATCTCCGGGTCATTACTATAATTATCATATTGCAATACTTAAATCTTTATATACGCAGTGCATCTTAAATATTACTCCGTATTAAATTAACACTCCAATCAAAGTTAGATATATAATTAAAACCATTATATATAAAAGTATAACTAAAAGTTGGCTAAGATGATCAAACTTTCAACTTAATTATTATTGGTCATGAGTTTAAACACTATAAAGATCATTTTATTAGCATTAATAAATGTTGATTGTGGAGAATGTGGCATGTTTATAGTGTTTGAGAAAGATGTCACGTGGCACATATAATTTCTTAAACCCCTTTTAATAAATTAGTATAGATATACTCCGTACAATGCAAGGAATTGGAGTAGAAAAATTCTATAATATTATCTCGTTATTATGAGGGGCTTATATGAAAACTGAAAATGACTAGGAACAATTGTATGTGAAGGAGAGTGTCACCTAATACATAAACTTTATCCCCTTTACATTTTTTTTGGTAATTATATTTGCTTTTCATATGATAATGATAGACATCATAGCTCACAAATTGGTTTGTAAATTGAAACTAGTTTTGAATTTATAAACATTACAATTTACATCTAAATTGAACATAAATTCTACAAAAAAAAAAAAATGTTAATTACAGGTTCTAATTCTAATAACATTATTATAGTTTGTTTTCTTTTCAAGTAGTTGTATAATTTAAAGGAAAAATAAAAATAAATAAACCCATCTTTACTCGGTCTTTTGAAAACAATCTCACCTTTGAGGCTTTGATATGGGTATTTTTTTAACAATCCCTGACCGGTTGGTAACTGATTTTCCTAAGTTGTTTGTCACGTGTTGACTTTTAATAGGTTGATTTTTTTAAGAAAATATTGAAAGCACAAACATATACTACTTCCGTTTCATATTATTTATAACAATCAAACATTATCTATTCACAATTTATATCAAATCATTGCAAATAATATAAAACGGAAGTAGTACATTAAAAAAAATAAAAATAAAAAAAAACCTCACAAACCAGCCCCGCGCCCTCTTAAGGCCTGAACCACCACTCCAAACAGGCAAAATCCCCCATTGTTGCACTCCGAGCTTTCTCCTATCACTCCAACCAGTCTCGCGGCGGTCTTCCTCGCTTCTTCTCCGAAACCCTTCCTTCTTCCAAGGCACTCTCTCTCTTCAACTTCTTTTCTTCGCATTTTTATTCTTGCTATTTAATCAAATTGCAATTCAATTTTCATGTTTTTGGAGCTAATTCACATATTGCTGAAGTTTTGAAAGTTTTGGATTATGAAGGGTCAATTTTAGGGATTGTTTATTTCGCTGCAATATTGACCTAATTGGTACGACATTGTGCAATGAAAATGCCTAATTGTGGAAAAAATAAAATTAGTGCATAATTCTGGCCTTACTTTGGTTCAGTAGAATTTTAGAAAGTTCTTTGTCATAATGATACGGGACAATGTAAGAGTCATTCCCAAAAGGGAGCTCGAGAGAAGGAGGGTTTATTGTCCAATATAAATCCCACATTAGCCCCTTGTACGACTGATGTGGGACTCAAGTCCTATACCTTGCAATGGATCATAGGATCGTAACACAAAATTTATTCTGTATATATAAGTGTAATTTCACAATTTTAGGGCTAAATTGTTCCAAACAATGGTTAGAAACATAGCTTTACGAGTGAGCGAGAGTGCAAGCTCTAAAGGGAAAGGGAGTTGCCATCCTCAATAGTTTGACCTTTGATTCTCCACTCGAGTTGTAGGTCAAAAGGATTGTTAAAAGAATATTCACGTTAGAAGTGGGATTGTTTTGAAATAAATTAAAAGTGAGATTATTTTCGGAAGACATAGCAAAGTTTTTTGGTTGTGTATTGCGTTCATGATGCAATTGTATTTGGATTTCTCCAATTTTGACTAGTTATATCAAATTTTATTGTTAGAGGTTGTTGGAACAAGTGTGTTTTGGTGTAAATTTTGTGGAAAACAAAAAGTCCCACATTGGTGGGAAATAGAAGTTTGTCCTTCCTTATATTGGAGAATGTGGAGTATTTGGGTGTGGCCCTTGGGCTACCCACATTTTGTGGAGAGCCGGGCTGGGCTGGGTTGGGTTGGGTCGGGTCGAGTCAGGTTTATTAATTAAACTTAATTTTTGCTCAGTTTTTGAACAAGGCTTAATTACGTAATTAGTGCCTTGATTTTTGCTAAACGGTTTTGACTGGTTATCTCTCTAACGTTTATTTCCAGATTAATTAAACTTTGGCCGTTTTACTAGCTGTTTTGACTGGGTAAATTAACGTTTTAATTGACCGTTTTTGGCGTTAATCACGCTGGTGTTGGAACGGTTTTTTTTGCCTATAAAACATCATGTTATGTTCACTGTTTTTACATAACAAAAAATCACAGAATTTTTCTAATCCCTTTTTTTCTCTTACAAAATATTCGAGCAGTGTTCTTTACATTTTTTGGTGGTTAGTTGTCCACTGGTTCTGTGCAAATCCACTGGTATTTTCCTTGCTTAGACAGACTGTTTTATCCTGGGGAACATCCGGTTGTTGTACGAGCTGCTTGCACAAATTAAAGGGCAGTACCGTCAATGTTCTAAAGAGAGCGACATAGTCCGCGACTCAGTCTAATTCCCGGTAACTTTGTTCTGTTTTTATTGTTTACAGCAGTTCGGTTTATAACAATTTTAGAACATTCTTTTCTGCCTTTATAATCATCATGTCTACCGAGGAAATAACTATGTCCAATGACCTTAACAAGCCCTTCCGTTTTGAAGGCGCTCATTTTAAAAGGTGGAAACAGAAAATGCAGTTTTTCTTAACTGTTAAAAAAGTGCATTCTGTATTGACTATCCCTAGGCCTGTTATTCCTGATAATGCTGAACAAGATGATCTAGTGTATTGGAATTCTGAAATTGAAACTTGGAATGAAACCGATTTCATGTGCAAAAACTATATTCTTAATGGTCTGTCTGATAACCTGTATGACTATTATAATCTGGAAAACACCGCTAAGGATTTGTGGGATGCCCTGCAAAAGAAATATGACACCGAAGAAGCCGGTGCCAAAAAGTATGTTGTTAGCAGGTACCTGAAATTCCAGATGACTGATGATAAGTCCGTGGAAGTGCAGTCCCACGAACTTCAGAAAATTGCCCATGAGATAATTTCCGAAGGTATGGCTCTTGATGAACAATTTCAGATTGCTGTTATAATTGACAAGTTGCCTCCTTCTTGGAAAGATTTCAAAAACAGTCTCAGGCACAAGACTAAGGAATTTTCCTTAGAGAGTTTGATTACTCGGCTCCGTATAGAGGAAGAATCCAGAAAACAGGACCAGAAAGAAGAAGTCTTACAGCTCTCTGCAAACAATGCTCCTAAGCGTTCTGCTGCAGTTCTCAAGCCCGCTGGTAAGAACTTCAAGCCTCAGAACCGGAAGAATAACTTCAACAAAAATAAACAGAATGTTCAAAAGAACGATGGAAAGCAACAAATTCAACCCCCTAAGAATGGTACTGGTCAATTCCTATGTTATAGGTGTGGAAAACCAGGCCATATGGCACGAAAGTGCAGGAACATGCCTAACCCTGTACCACAGGCTAGCATGATAGAAGAGCCACTTGTGGCTATGATTACTGAGATCAACCTTATTGGTGGATCAGAAGGGTGGTGGGTAGACACTGGCGCTACACGCCATGTCTGCTATGATCGTCGGATGTTTAAAACTTATTCTGAAAACACCGATGATAAGAAAGTGCTGTTGGGTGATTCCCATTCCACTAATGTTGCTGGTATTGGTAATGTTGAGTTGAAGTTTACTTCTGGCAGGACTCTCATTCTGAAGGATGTACTGCACACTCCGGAAATGAGAAAGAACTTAGTTTCTGGTTTTCTTCTTAATAAGGCTGGTTTTACACAGACCATAGGTTCCGATTTATTTACTTTAACTAAGAATGAAATGTTTGTAGG